TCCTCCTCGGAAGAGGCGAGGTGCTCAGAGCACGCTCGAGGGCCTGGAAGGACGACGACCGGCGTTAAGCCGGCCTGCCGGATCTCCTAGCCCGTGGCCTCGTCGGAGAATCCATCGGAACAATGCCGAGCCCCACCTCAGGCCGTGCCCCGCGACCTTGTCGTTCGTTTTGGCGAGCGATCGGCGAGCAAGCGGGCGTGCGGTGGCTCGAAAAAAGTTCGAGCACCGATGGGTTCGTTGTGGTGCTGAAAGGAAGGCGCACCCCGACGGGCACGGAGCACCGCCTCGGTTGATCCCAGACCTTGGCAACCGCTCCTAAGAACGAGTGACGTAACGACCGCCCTCGGGCTTCTCCGCGTGTTGCTCGCAACACCGGAGGGGACCGGGCGACCTCCTCTTGCAGGAGATCAGGTAGCAGTCCCCCTCCCACGCAGCTAGCTCAGTAGGCCCGCCATCCCAAAGGCTAGTCGTGATCGGGAGCGAGGCAAGTCGCGAATACGGTCGGTTGGGGCAGCGGGGTGGCACCCGATGTCCTCTCCATACCGCACCTCGACGAACCTCGACACCAGGGAGCCTGCTTCCCGGCGGCACCGGGCGTCCATGCGGAACAAAAACCAAATCCCTTTTCCCCCGATGGTAACAGGTCGGACTCTTTCCCAAAAGCGGAAGCACCGGGAAGTTCGACGCCTGACCTAGGACGTATCCTCAGAAAGTTGGCTTGCCGGAATCCTCCTCCCTCCTAGCGTCCCCCGCCACCGGTGCTCCGTCTCTCTTGGCACCGGCCGGTGTGACTGCGGGGTCTTGCTCGCCCGGCCTTCCGAAATCCTCTTCGGTCGGCTGGGAAGGAGCGCCCGTGGTAATGGCAAGGGACCGTTTCTCAGCCGGGTCCGGTCGCAGTGCATCAAGGAGCTGCGAACGGGCACGGGATATAGACCTCTCCGCGATCGGGACTGGCCGTCCGGTCGCAAAACCCTCCCCTTGAGCGGGGCCCCCATGAGCCCCGGCACCTAATAAAAACTGGGACCCCACTCCTGACGATGGATATCTTGGAACCTGGCTCGATGAAGAACGCAGCGAAATGCGATACGTAATGCGAATTGCAAAACTCCGTGAATCATCGAAACTTTGAACGCATGTTGCGCCCGAGGCCTCGGCCGAGGGCACGTCTGCTTGAACGCCACACACATCCAGGTGGAGCCACGCATCCGCACCCACACCCTCCGCACGCGGCTACGTGCGGCCGGGTGAACGGGACGGAACTGCCAAAATGCGTCGGCATACGAGGGGCGCTCGGGTTTTGCTCGAGACAATCGCCCGTACCTGGGAAAACGAGATGGCCGTCGCAACCCGTGCACAACGGGGGGCAGTCGGCTGAAATCGCAGGGCCGCCGCAAGCCCGTCTCCTCTCCGTCTCGACCCCAGTGCAGATCCCCGGATGCCAACCGGGAGGACGCGAGCGGGACGAGCGAAACGAGGCGGGTGGCGACCCCGCTGGGCTCGGTGAACCCAGCCGGCCAACGGACCCCGTCCGGACCTCCCAGCAGGTGGGGGGGTATCGGATGCCAAACCGTTCCTCTTTTCCTCTCCCGAGAAGGCCGCGAAACGGAAAAATGGAGCCGAGGGCGTGGCAACCCTCGGTCTCCGCCCTCCAAAGTAGCGTGCACGGACCGGGCGAGGGGCGGACGGGGCCCGTACAAAAATGGTCGGACCGGGGAAGAACCGGGCAAACCCCCAAGCGATGGCTTCAAGTCAGGCGAGACCACCCGCTGAATTTAAGCATATTACTAAGCGGAGGAAAAGAAAACAACCGTGATTCCTTTGGTAGCGGCGAGCGACCAAGGAAAAGCCCAGGCTTGAAATCCGAGGGCCTCCGGCCCTCCGAATTGTAGTCTGAAAAGGAAGCGTTCTCTGTGACGGGCGCCGCCTTAAGTCCACTGGAAAGTGGCGGCAGAGAGGGTGACACCCCCGTCGGGCGACGACCCGTCACTTCACGAGGCGCATCCGAAGAGTCGGGTTGCTTGGGAGTGCAGCCCCAACATGGGTGGTAAGCTCCATCCAAGGCTAAATACGGCCAGGTTTCCGATAGCGAACAAGTACCGCGAGGGAAAGATGAAAAGAACTTTGGAAAGAGAGTAAAAAGTGCTTGAAATCGTCAGGAGGATAAGCGCATGAGCCCAAGCACACCTGCGGGACCCGTTCACGCGGGGCCCGGAGGTACGCAGCGCCGGTCGATGCCGCGGGAAAAGGAGCTCGCTCCCACCGCGGCGGAGACCGAGGATGGCCCTCACGGGTCGGCGCTGGCGAAACGGGCTGATGCGACCCGTCTTGAAACACGGACCAAGGAGGCCAACGCGGCTGCGAGCCAATGGGTTGAAAACCACAATGGCGACAGTGAAAGCGACCCGTGAGAAGGCGGCCTCGTGCTGCCCGCACCACGGACCGCCCCGGGGGCCTCGGCGCCCGGGGTGCGTTGAGTAGTCGCGTTGGGACCCGAAAGATGGTGAACTATGCCTGAGCAGGGCGAAGCCAGAGGAAACTCTGGTGGAGGCCCGCAGCGCTACTGACGTGCAAATCGTTCGTCAGACTTGGGTATAGGGGCGAAAGACTAATCGAACCATCTGGCCCTTCGCGAGAGCCCTCGTGGCTCTGCAGGCGGTCCCACCGGCTGGCGCATGGACTTCTTACGCGAACTCTTCACGCACCCCGGAGACCTCAAACTCCTGGGGGCATGGCTTCAGGCAGCAGCAAGAGGGGATGTGGGGCAGGGGGTGGCGCAGTGGTGGACCTCGAGTTCGCTAGTGGCTTTGGAGAAACCAGGTGGCGGTGTCCGCCCGATCGCAGTGGGGGAAGTCTTCCCTCGCCTCCTGGCCCGGTGTCTCGCGGTCGACTACCATGACGCCATCATCCGACACCTGAAGCCGAAAGGGCAGTTTGGGGCTGGTGCGCGGAACGGAGCGGAGACGGTTATCCACGGGGTGCGCGCTGCATTGAAGGCTAACCCCACCTGGGGCGTTCTTCAAATCGATGTTAAAAACGCTTTTAACTCAGTTTGTCGGCAGGCGCTCTTCAAGGAGTTGGTCAAGGGCCCATTTGTGGGCATGACCCCGTTTCTGCGAACCCTCTACGGGAGTCCCTCCCCACTCTTGTACAGAGCCGATGCAACACGGCACACCTTGTGGTCGCGAACAGGAGTGAGGCAAGGGGATCCTCTGGGGCCGTTTCTCTACGCACTAGCACAACAACCTGCTCTGGAGGCGGTGAAGGCGGCGCACCGAGACGTCTTCTTATGCAGCTATGCGGACGATACGTACCTGCTGGGGGAGCTGGACGCGATTGGAGCTGCTTTCCCTTCCCTTTGTAAGGAGCTTCAGGGGATCGACTTGGAAGTCTCGCAGAAAAAGTGCCAGTGGTACGCGCCGAGTGGCAAGCGGCCGTCCGCCGACAACCCGCTCTGCGAGATGACCGAGGCTGCGGAGGGCCTTGTGGTAGTTGGTTCTCCAGTTGGTAGCAAGTCTTTCGTCGAGGCTGCGGTCTTGACGAAGATGGAAACTGGGCAGTCGATCTTGGGCAAACTGCCTCGGATCAATCATGCTCAGATGGCCTCCCGGATCCTGGCAGGATCGGTCTCGGCGCGGCCTAACTTCTTAAGCCGCACCACACCACCGACTTCTTGCTTCCGGGAGACCCTATCACTCTGGGACACTTCCATGTTGTGCTGCTTTTCGGAGATCCTGAACGACGACAGCTTACTCAACCCTGGCAAGGTTAACAAGGCAGCGCAGACGCAGATCACTCTACCGGAACGGATGGGTGGCTTCGGGGTCCAATCAGCCGCGAGGACAGCTGACTTGGCGTATGTGGTCAGCCTTCTTAGTGTCGCTGGGACCCTGAAGTCCTTCTTTCAGATGGGAGGGAAGAGCATTCTCGGAGTCGAGGACAGCGAGGCGCCTTTCCCGCCCATCTTTGAGGAGGCTGAGTCGGCGCTGAAAAGGCTTCCAGAAAAAGTCCGCACGAAGCTGCCTACGTGGAAGACAGTCGGGGAGAGAGGGCTTGAACGCGGAACTTTCACGGTTTTGGCACGGGAGCTGCAGATTGAGGCTTTGAACGGGATCCGGAAGTCCCTTAACCGGCCCCGCCACAAGGCCCGATTGACCAGTTTGCAGCTGCAGAACGCGGGCGCGTGGGTCTCGGCTCTACCGTCTCGACCGGACCTCCAGCTCGAAAGCGACGACTGGGCGATTGCGGCGAACCTTCGGTTGGGTCGGGACATCCCACACCTCATTCAGGCGGGGACTTGCTCGTGCGGGAAGGACTTATCCACTTGTAACGCGGCGGGGCATGCTCTCAGGTGCTCCACCAAGTACGCGCCGTCTATCCCCCACAATGCCATCCGGGACCATGTGGCGATGGTCTGCAGGGAGGCGGGCATGCAGACGACGATGGAGGATAAGGCTTTTTTCGGTGGGAAGCCGATCCCGGATGTCGTGAGTCTCCACACGGACAGCGGGAAGACCTGGGTGATGGATGTGGTCATCGCGGATCCGCACGATAACAATGCCAACTGCCCGGAGACCAAGCCAGGAGCGGCCCTCAATGAAGCCGTTCGTCGGAAGAAGGTGACCTACAAGGAGGCGGTGACGAAAGGAGGGAAGCGGATGGAGAAGACCACCAAAGTGATTCCGTTGGCTACGGAGATCTATGGGGGTTGGTCCAACAGCTTCTCCGACTGCGTAAAGGACATTGCAGCAACCACTTCGAAGCGGCTTGGCAGACAGTCGGGGCAAACCACCGACCTCAAATCTCTCATCTGCCGGAGCATCGCTCAACGCATTGGAGTGACGCAGCAACGTTCTCAAGCGGTCATGATTCGGCACAGGTTGCGCGCAGCAGTGGAGGCCAAGGGAGAAACGATGTACCAAGACGCAGGGAGGACTTTTGACTGGATGGGCTCTCAGCCACCCGCTCCCTGCGACATTGTGGTAGGAAGGGTAGATTTCTGA